TCCTTCGCGGCAGGGAATTCGACTACCTCTTGCATGAATTGTATTGGATACTTAGTCAAATGACGTGGCTCTTTCTCGCTTGTACTTGCTCCTCCATGAGCCTCTTCCTCCGATTCACCCTCCTCTTCTTCGCTGCCACTCGAGTAATCCAAAGGGTCATCATCCACGTCCAGCGTGGTTTCCTCTGTATAGTGACATGCTGTGGCATCTTTGACAGATTTAATCGTTTCAAATAAACCATCTGCCACTTCGCACTCTTTTTGAGACGTTGGAGATGACGAGGCCAAACCCAGATTGTTACGGACTAAATCGCACAAGCGATTGATTATATTCGAAACGTTCATCTGCGAGACTGTCTTTAACGAAGGAAAAGAGAGGATAGGATAAAAAAGAGAAAACAAAGAACTGACTACGTGGCAGAAGAGGAAGGAAGGAGAAGAAGCTCGTATGCATGAAATGCATAATATTCCCACAAAGATGAAAAACCGACAACTGACTTGCATACAAAACAACAAAAAGAGAAGAGAGAGAGAAGTGTACAGAGTATTGTGAAGCGGGATTGCATAGCTGTGTCTGGTAGTGATGTCAGATCCCACCCCGTGTTAAGAATGAATGTGGTGAGAGAAGGAAAGATGGAAGGTCCCCTCCTAACAATCATGATGGCTCCAGTTAAAAGACGTAAAGAACGTAAAGCAGAAACACCTTTGAATAAGAACCTAGTCCCTCCAGAGTTTAAGGCAAACGTTCTGCGAAAGTAAAACTGATAGCTTTTGGTTATTCCTTTCTAGTACCTACTGGTTATACTCGGAATCTCTGTGGTCGTTTACCCAATTATCATTTATTTTTTATTGAAAGGTAACAAAAGACAAGAAAAGTAATTTTGCCTTTACAGAATCTTAGTTTTGCCCTTGAAAAACATTTCAAAGCCCTTACAAAAATTTAAAAAATATGTTTTTCATAGGTTTCTTGATATGCTCTACAATCTGGACAGATCACAAAATTTTTTGGAAAAAAAAAGTTGTTGACTTGGAAAACTGGTTTTTCAAAAACCGGGTCTCCGGAGGCCTAGCAGTCCAAATGCTTGTCATAGTCGGATTCAGCATGTTTGATTACCTATTGTCCACTAGCTTAGAGCTCAAAAGCGAGTTGACAGTTGCGGATCTTTCCTCGTCAGATGTCGGCGCACAAATGTCGGAGCTCAAACGTCGGTTGAGGAATTCATACAGGTGATGAAGCTTGAAATTCTCTACAAGATGATATACTTTTTAATTATTTTCCTTGAAATCCCCCGTTAAAACTAAGTTAATTTAAGTTTATCTCAAAGCCATTTTTGCTGTATTGACCATAATTACCCCAACGGTACACGTTGACTATGCAAGAAAGTGATGAAAGTATTAGGTCTTCGCACACGAAAGGGTTGTCCTTTTTAGACGAGAAAAAACAACGGTTGTTCTGTGTTTCGAATCTTGACCATTGTAAAAAATAGCATTTGTAAAATTACCATTGTCATCCTTAACTGCTAGTATCGCTCTCCCACGAAGAAATTGTGCAAATAGTTTTTTAGTTCTTTTATTGAATGACGTTTAGCAACATGAATTAGTGTTTATCAAGTTGTATCGTATAGTAAAGGAAAATGAAAAATATGACTTATCGAAAATTACGACTATAGAAAGCCCGAAAGATTTTAAAATAAATAACGTGAATTACATGGATTCACGCAGTCTGTTGGCTGTAAGTCGAACCAATACACTGTCGGGAATATTATTCATTTTATTGTAACTCGATCTTGTTACTTTAGAATTGAGTAATATTTTTTACGATGAGAGCGTACCACAGTTTTAGTAAATACACTATTGTAACAGCAGTTATTAATGGTACTCTCTAATGGAGTAGTTTCCGATCCATGACAAGGATAAATCCATCTGCTTGCCCACTTTAGTTATCTTATTTTATTTGTTTTTACTATCTTTCTCTTCGTTCGATAAGTGCTCTGTAGATAACATAAATAGAAAACTGAAATGGAATACTTTTAGGTCATCCGTCTCTTCACACTGTGAAGAGACAAATCAAAAATCTAGGATAGTAATACCATTCAATGGTATTACTATCCTAGATTTTTGATTTGTCTTTTTCTTCCTTTGACTAGTCTAGGGTCCTGCAAAACGATTACTTGTCTGTGTGTAGTATCTTTGAAATATATGTATAATAGAAACGAGCACATTTGAAATATTTCGTTTTCATTTCTTTGATTAATTAAGCTCGTCAAAACCTATATTTTATCTTTTATTTTTGTTAATAATCCCTGATTTATATTTATTTTTCCTACTGTAAACTCTTTAGTATTTAACAGGTTGTTTTTATTTCGACGCTTTTTGTTTGCTTGGTTGTCTGATCTATTATATTACACTTTTTGTTCTGCATTTCTTGGCTGTAGACTTTAATTCCAACTGTAACAACAACCCCTGTAGTCAAGTTGAATAGATCAGACAACCAGGCAAGTAAAAAACGTCGAAGTAAAACAACGTGTTAAATAAGATGTGCGTAATTTAAAGGAGTAGCACTATTTTTTTAGCACATATCATACATGGTTAGATAGAGCTCATCGAACTTCAAAAAATATGTGTTTCAGCCTTTCAAAATTGTTCTGGAGCGAAAATCGTAAAAAACTAAAAATTTGGCTTAGGTCCAAAAACCCTTATTTAAAGATTAAATTCGATTCTTTTAACTGTTATGAGGTTTTGCAGTTGTCTGATTTTTTCTTCTTATTCAGGACGAAAAACTGAATAAGAAAACGTCACTTCGATGCTGTGTTCGCATATCACCTACCTCGAGAAATCCCGATTCTTTAGAACAATCCTAAAATCCCTGATCGTCCGATTGTCAACCTGTCTAGCTTTTTTGGTTACTACATGAAGCTACATTTTACATATCATTCAAACGGTCTTACTACTGGGAAAAAATATACGAATCGCTTTTGAAAAATATCGCCCTGTGGTTGAGGAAATTAAGTTTTTTGAAACAGGTAGCAAAAAACAAGGAAATTCACTTGTATTTTGCAGTTTTCACCGTCAAACTTTCATTTTTTGCAAAACCTATGTCATATTTGGAATCAGTATCGAAAACTAAATTGGTTGATGTGTGTTTCAGCATTTTTGGACAACTTTGATTTATTTTGAACTTTCCGACCGAGACTTTTGCGGAAAAATCCAAGTTGTCCAAAAATGCTGAAACACATATATTCGGGATCAGCTCGACGAGCTCTATCTAACCATGTATAATTTGTCTAGAAAACAAGTACTTTTCTTTTTTTTTGAATTACGCACACCCTACTAAAAATATTACAGTAAGAAGAAAAAATATAAATCAGAGATTTTTAACAAGAATAAAACATAAAATATATATTTGTTATAATATACGTTTGCTAGCTGTTTGTTCTACTCTTCTACCTCGGCTTTGTAAACAATTATTCGTTTTTTACGATAAGAACGATTATGTCTATACATTCCGGCCATATTCCCATCAAGTAGAATAAAATTAAAAAAAATAGAAAGAAACAAAAAACAAACGAGAAAGAAGTCGCGACAAGAAACATTCAATAGTGATTCATACAGAATTTTTTGCGTAGATTTTGTTTTGATCACGTCAATGACACACGAGTGTTTACTGGGTTTTTTCTTACGTTTTTTTCGTATGCTAAGACATTACGGTAATTATATCTTGAGACAACATAACTTAAATATTAAAAGAATGCTGTTAACACTGCGTCGATAAGACAAGTAGATTATAAATCATAAGAGTATATTGCACTTTATATTATGGTTTTCTACCAAACGTAATTTTATAACATTCGATATTACAAAATGTATCAAAATTATATATTTCAAGTAGAATATTTCTTAAGTTTTTTTACAAGATAAACAACTGTATGCATTAGTTTTGCAATAATGGATGAAATTCTCTCTGATACCGATTTCCAGAATATCATACACAAGGAACTCAACTCTATTGATCTTGATAGGCTCAACTATTTATGTGATGTTGTTGATAGTTATGTGGTATCTGATAATAAGATATTTGCTCAAATTTTCGCCCAACAAGCTACCACAGTATTATTAACATTTGAAGAAATTGCATGGAAAGCATGGGCAGAATGGCTGGATAACAGCAGCAATATCAGCAAATGCGCACTAACTTATGTTAAAAATGTTGGTATGCTTAACAACAAAATAGTACGAATGAATGACGCTCTATCAGTAGAAATTACCGAAAAATTGTTGCTGAATCAAAATTTTTTACCGATATTTTCACGTATTATCGAACATATTAGTATTTATTCAGCATTGCATGAAAACTTATTTCTTTTAAATGTTCGGCTATGGTTAGATGCTATCACGTATTGGCTCTCCTTAAACGTCAAAGATAATGACTTTATTTCTTCTGTCTATGATTGTTTACTGTCAAAATGGTATACACTTTATCTTTCGAATATTATAGAGTCAAACGAAACACTTATTTTGAACTCTCCCGAACAATTTTTCATTGAAGCCTGTTCAATGTATTTTTCTGTTACAGCCAGAATAGAGCATTGGACGAAGGTACCTATATCACTCATTTCAAATGTAAAACGACTCGTTATTATTTATAGTAAACAGTTGAATTGTAATTCAACCATCCATTTAGTTACTGCTGTTGTATGTTTTATTACAAACTATTATTTTAATATTTCGAAAAACCAAATAGAGTCATTGTTGGTAAGTGACATTGTGTTCATGTAGTTCCTTTCTTGACGTTTGACTGTGGCGTCTGGTAAAATCGATTTACACTGACTTATAACGAGCAGAACTTCAAAATTGCTCAAGTCCACGGAAAGTCTCCCACGATTCTGGAAGAGTTCTTCATAAATTCTTCACAAGCCGTTTTTATACGGGTGATCCCTGACTACTCAAAGAAGTGGATTTTCTTTGCTCTCTACACCTAAGTCTTTGCTAATTTCATAGGAAATGTTACCAAGTCCTTACGATACTAAGAAAGAAATGATTGTTGGCATCCCAGACATTAACGAAGAATATTATCAATGTCTACTACACATTGCCAATCAGATTGACCTTCGAAGCACGACTCAAACTAGGATATTAAACGACGAGATACTTTTGATCAATTCTATCTTAAAATATATTCTACTAAACATTCGTTATGGAGATAATAGTGATAAACATCGTTCGCTATTACGAGCAAGTCATATTCCCGATATTTGTCTGCACGTGCTTAACAGCGAATATGAATCAATGTGTATAAACTCGTTCTTTGTATTATCTCATCTAGAGGATGACACTACGTTGAAAGATACAGACAACGCTAGGAAGTTGATTGAATTCTACTTTTATTATCTCAAGAAAAAATTTCCGTTCTGCATTGGTAATGAAATATTTTTAATAGAAGACTTTTTACTCGGACTACTAACGTTAGCAACTAACGATGTTATAAAAGATATGATTGCAGAATATAACTGTATTCAATTGCTGGTTCAACTAGCTCAGAAAAAGCCAGCTGTATATAAAATAATCTGGTCTTTATCTTTTCATCGAACAATTCGTATTCAACTAAATACCAACAAATTCTTCTCTGCACATTTACTTGATAATAATATTTACAGCAATGACGTTTGTCAAGCTTTGCGAGCTATGCTATTAAATCTTGATTATAAAAAACATGAATGGAATAAAAATTGGAAAATTAACAATTCAGAGATTATTTTACGTTCCTCTCGTGTCAGCCATAATTGGAAAAAGTTTGATGCTGTATTCAGTTACAGTAATCGTGACAGAGACGAATGTGTTCGCATGAAAAATATTTTATGTGAAAATGGTTATCGACTCTGGATTGCACAAGATACAAAAGATGAACGGTCAGTTGCAAGAATAATAACAGCATTTCAAACTATCAAACGGCTAATAGTTTGTATTAGCGATGGTTTTGAGCGTGACAATTACTGCATGTCAGTTCTTCGTCACGCTTTTAGTAACGGAATCGCTATTGAACCAATTATCCTTCAAAATGATTACCGACCAAGACAATTTGTATCAATCAGTTTACCTCAAATACTAATTAAAAATTTTTCAAAATTTCACATGAACATGATAAAAGTGCTGAAAAGTAAAGAATTTCCTCAGGAAGGTTTGTCGATATTACAAAAGATTAAACTAAACCGTGAGAACTACCATGAAAACAATGAAACTATTCATCCATATGAAAAACAGGTTCGTAAACTTTCTAGGGATAAAAATTAAATCCCGTGTGACAGTTAAAAGTTGTTATTCTTTTTTTTCTTCTAGGAATTGAATGATACTGAGGAAGCGACTGATACAATGGTGGGTATAAGTGTAATGGAAAGGCCTCCTCCCAGCGATCTGTATCGTGCGTGTAGAAGCAATGCCATTGACAAAGTGTACGAGTATCTAAAAACGGCAAGTGTAGATGAAATAAATCAAATTCAATCAAATGGAAGCACTGCTTTGCATATTGCTTCTTATCATGGTCACAATGAAATTGTAAAATTATTGCTAGAAAAAGGTGCCTCTCCTTCTATTCGAAACCAAATATATGGTCTAACTGCTTTTGATGAAGCAAGAACAAATCAGACGGAAGATTTATTCAGTCCTAATAGTCGTTTCTCGGATCAACTTCATTCCGATTTATTCGATTGGTCGATTATTATAATCGATCCGGCAGAAAAACATAAAGAATTGAGACAATTTTTAACTTCATGTACATTATACAGAGAGGTGCTACTAAAACTGCGGAATCGATACATTAGCCAATGGTTTCAATTGGAACGAGAAGAAATTGAATCCTATTTTATCCAAGCTGAAGAAGAAAGTGACCCTACTTACTTAATAAAGGCATATACAAGTAAAACTATGTTTCACAAAGTTTTAAACAACCATTTGGCACTTTACTCAGAACGTTATCTTGACCCAAGTATGTCTTACGAAGACGACAACTCATTCATCAGCTGTGCACTTGATATAGTTTCCATTATTGTTAATCGTCCAGAGTTCGATCCTTATTACTGCACTGGTATATGTTATCGTGGTATGTTGTTAACTCGAAATGATCTGCCTAAGTATATCATAGGTCACAGAGTAATGAATAAATCTTTTATTTCAACATCAAGAAGTAGACAAGTCGCTGAAATCTATTCCGGTGCTGAACAACAAAACTATTTACGTCAAACACCAGATAATCGGCCTATTCAAATTTCAACATTTTGTACATATATAATAAGAAACAAGCGTACCGCGTTGAATATTAAATCGCTCTCGTTATTTGAAGATGAAGAAGAGGTATTGATAGTTCCGTTTTCAGCGTTCGAAGTAACAGAAGTTAAACAGTATCATCACAGCAAAAACGCTAGAATTATGGTTGAACTTGAATTTACAGAATGTAATGAGTCATAGAATTTCTAAAACTAAAACAAAAATTTTGCATGAATAAGAAATTTTTTGAAAAATAAGAATTCATCGTGATCGCGGTGCGAGTTGCGCGAATGTAACGCGATCAAGCTGCAAAACCGCGAAGAATAAACCAAGAAAGTTGAGTTGGGTTATTTCTAGAACAATAGTGACAGTTGTATCTCGACAACCTGAAAAAAAACTTTAGTTGCGTGGAAGCAACAAAAACGTACTATATAATGGAGTGATTAGCACGAGCTCATTCTA